CCCAAAACCCCAAAACCCCAAAACCCCAAAACCCCAAAACCCCAAAACCCCAATTTATATATATACATGTGATTAGATGAATTGAGATTTAATATAATATGCGTAAATATTATATTATTGGGGGTCGGGACTTCTTGATTGGTAGCCAGACTACATGATATGATGGGCGACTTTTTTGCTGGATTATTGGATTCTTATTTATCTGTATTAATGGATTTATTTACTATTAAAATTACTATTAAATTTAATACTTTTATTACTATTAATCATTAATCATAATTCAATACCCCCTTTTAATACATCCCTAAAACCCACTTTTCTATCTCACAACGACTCTGCATATTTTTATCATATCACTTAATCGATCATGCTTATATTACTGTCTACATTCATTTATTAATCATATTTTTAATGACTGTAATTATAATCATAAATCAAGTTTACTTATCCTATGTTTTCAAGCATATTAACATAAAATTGTTAGTAGTATCTATTTAATTAATTGATGATGATAATTAAGATGATGATCAAGATGGAAAAAATGAAGATGATCAAGATATTTATCAATATTTTAATCAACAATAGAAATATCTGGTAGTTAATTTCAACAGGATTAAGGAAGTATAATATAGATTAAAAGAGCTTTCATTTCTTTTATAGAGGAAAATTCAAATCTAGAAAATGAAACCTAAAACTATATCTTCATTCCTAGAATGAGTTTATTAAATTATTTTGATGATACTGCCATGTTTGCAGTACTCCTTATTTAGTGCTGGAACATTCAAAATGTATGGTGAATAAGAAATGGTCTCACCATCTATTTAGTCTATAATAGAAGTGTGGTTAAAAAGTTATAATAATAAATATTATAATAATAAAATCTTCTGGTTTAAAAATGAAAGGTTTGATTTAACTTTCTTTCTATAAATTTTCCTTCGCTTTTCTTTCTTAATATCCTTTATCCTCTTTAAAGAAAATCAACAGTATCTTACTCTAGTTCACTATTAGAATTATTTACTGATACATTCATTATGGAAAGAATAGTATTAATCTTAATTTCATAATTTTCATCTCCATCATTTTCATATCCATATTTATCATTAAATTTATTATCAAAATAATATGGTTAAAATCGAATTGAGTTTGGAAACTTTTATATTGAAAAGTGAAATCTAACTTTAATGATTATCCAGTCTTAATTTCATGAAACAACTCTTATCAAATAACTTAAGTTTGATAGTTGGTGATTACTGTTACCATCATCAGATAATCATTTATTCTAGTAGTGATTCTACTTTTGAAGTTTAGGTGATTATTATATCTGTAAATCATATTAGACTTCAATGATTCCTATTAAATATCACTGGCTTTTAATATATGAATCCATATTCTAACTCCTTAAATAATAACAATACCTTTGTTATTATGTATATTGTCATTGTTGTCGAAATTTAATCTCATAAAAATTTCCTATAGTTTAGGTTAAGACTCAATGATTTTTTATATAAACTAAACAATAGTTATCCATTTTGATATGCTATATAAATGCTATAAGTCTAAAATTTCATGCTAAATCATCAATATATTACCCTTTATATACTGCTAATACCTTTGCTTTATAAGAACAAGATTTTAAATGCTTGCTTTTATTGATAAATAGTTGCTATAGATAGACTTAAAGTAAAATACTTTAGGCCAAAAAGTCTTGCCAAAAGTCAAACTAGTTCTAATATTTTTTTGTTAATCTTCTATATATAATCTAAACTTAAACAATCTGAAGTGATGGAGCTAATTTTCCTCAATGAATAATAACTTCATATCTCTTTGTCTTTGCAATAGCTATGGCTTATTTCCATAATTAGCATTAGAAGTTTTATTGCTTATAATAAATCATTGCTTAAACTAATACTTGATTTGTAAGACTATATTGACTTCAAATATTTCCAAGAGCAAGCATCGATATCAATTATAATGCTTAAAGCATTGCTGAGATTGCAATATTTGCTAAGTCTTTGGAAATATGATACTCTATCTTATCCAATAATATGTATCATTCTATTGCTTAAGTTAATATGATACAAAATCTTAATCTCTTCAGACTTATGTAAATTTCCAACTTTGGTAAAGCTAATCTAACTCATTAACCTATAACAATCTTTTGTGAATAAGACTTTGGAAATAATTGAATACTCAAAGTGGATTATATAAAATCCTAAAAGCAAAAGACTGTGTTCTATATGTAAAATAGTTTATCTTAATCTAAACTCTTTTTATTAATAACCTGTTTCAATCCATTCAATAAATTTGAATAAACTCATATTAAATTCCAGGCTGAAGTTTATATTAATTATATATTTCGAAGCTCTATATAGAGCTATCTATATTTTTCTTCATTTGCTTAAGCAATATATGTTATTGCAATTACTGCATGATAAGACTAAACGATCAATGTTATTACTAGTATTATTATTGTTATTATTATTACTATTGTTATTGATGTTGCTATTATTGTTATTATTGCTATTATTATTACTGTTGATATATCTTTTGTTATTGCTGTTATTATTATTGTTATTACTTTGGCTTTATTGATTTTTGATTAAATTTTATCTAAAAATATTAAGCAGAATATAAATAACCTACCTTTAGATATACTACTACTTTAGTGAACTTCAGGTCTTTCTTGTCTTGCTGTTTTTTTTGTTGCCAATTTTCTGGAGGCTGGTTTTCTCTTAGTTTTTTGTTCTTCTTCTGTTTCTCTTTCTGTTTCTTTCTTTTCTTTCTTAAAGGTACCTATAAGTTAATAAAAAAAGCTTTCTCTAATTCATAAGGGGGAGGAAGAATTAGTTTTAAGGGAGGAAAGGTTGTTGTGAGGGAGGAAAGTTTTTGTTGAGGGAGGAATAGGTTTTTTTTGAGGAAATAATTATTATAAGCTGATTCTCTCTAGAAACGGTTCTCCTTAAATAGTTTTTTGTAATATCCAAATGGATGGTGGATTTTAAAATCATTTTCAAATTAGAAATTATAATAATTTTATTCGTCATCATCCTCATCTTCATCTTCATCATCATCGTCATCATCTTCATCTTATTCTTAATTTTAAAATGTATATAAAAATGAATAGAGTAAATTTTGAATAAGTTAATAAAATTTTTCCAACAATAGCAATCAAATTTTTCAACACAAGAATAAATCTATAATAATTTTTTTGAGAGCAATATTAAATTATTCTAATGTCGGAATGAATACCTTCAATCACTTGTGAAGTTTTTAATTAAAAATGATTGAAATTTTTTCAATCCAAAAATATTATTTTGAATTATGAGTGATATAATGAGCAATCACACAATTTCTGTAGTTTTATAAATGAGATATGAAAATGTCATAGCTGGAAAAAAAATTAAAAGCCTTTATAGAGTGATAAATTGAATTTATTTATGAATTAACCCATCGATAGTGATAATTTTGAATCGACTATCCATTTTACGCAATCATATTTTTACTTGTAATTGAAATCTATGGAGCTTCACATTGAATCATATCAATAAAAATATGATAATTTTCAATTCACAAGTCTTTCAAACTGATAAAATCAAGGGCCGATGTTAACACATGATAAAAGCATTTACGTACTAATGTCTGATTTATTTTGCTGATATTCATTGCAACTTCCTTCATGAATGATGCCCAGTATCCTCTATGACAAATTAAATTCCAAATCTTACTTTGATTAAGCTCTTGTATTCAGAGGATTTAAGTCTCTGTTCTTAATGTATGAATACATTAACTCTGCAGGTGCAAGTTTGAATTAATATGGACCAAGAAACATGAGAGGCAATTTCAATTCATCATAGCAAGTCATGATTTTAAAACTTCTGTGATATGGAGCATTGTCTATCAATATCACTGTGTTTGATCTCCAATCTTAGTCTTGCTAATCAAGCACTCTGATTAATTTACAGAGGAAATAAGTAAATGTAGTTTGATTTGTTCTTCCTCTGTTTACTGTGTAATACAGTTCTCCCGAACTGGATACTCCAATGATTAAATTCATTTGACTTAATCGTTAAGCATAAGTAACTTTGTTTCTTACTTTGTAACCTGTCCAGCCTCTGTGTCTCTCATCAGTTGTATTTAAAACTGATTCATCTATGTTAATAATTTTCTTTCCACTTGAGAGGACTCCAATAAATTGTTAAGCTGCATATTATCTTTGCAGTTTACAGTTCAAGTAATTGTGATTAACTGTAATTTACTTAATCTATTTGTATGTCAAATGCAATTCCTCTTTCAGGAATCTCTGGATCATTGATCTTGAGCACCTTAGTTAAATATCCTTCAGCAAACTTTGCTGGATGTCAGATACCTGAATAGGCACTCTCGAATCAACTATCATATTCACAATATGCATCCTTGCCCTTCCATGAAGCTTCTTGAATTTCTCATGTTCAGACAGGTTATTGATTGGCAAGCTAAAATTCAAAGATGGATACTTGATGAATTTTCTTACTTTGTAGTAAGTTATCTTCAACCTTTGTTGGATTTATCTCATCGAGAGTTTATGATTAAAATATAAATTCAAGCACTCTCTGTGTTGAATTTCTTAGTTCTACAGTTCAGCCTCTCGTTGCTTAATTAGCTTTATTTTTCGCTTTGGAATTACTACTTAGAGTTAGGGATATCTATTATTGACTTATGATTCTCTCTATAATCAATGATTTTCAATAACTCTTTATTCAAGTCTTGGTAAATCAAGATCTATATTCTGCACAAATCTTCCTTAAGGCTCTAGATCTGACTATCTATACTTAGTGTATAACTCCAGAACTTGCCTAGCTAAGTTCATAATTTATTCATCAGTTAGCAAAGTCTATACTGTTTTAATCTTCTATTATTCCTTAACTACTAATCTTGGATCAATGATGAAGCCTTCGAAATCATAATTGTCAAGTTCTTCAACAATATCAAAGAATAAGTAATCCATGTCTTTATAGTTGATTGTATCAACTTCAATATCAGCAAGAGTCAAATTCCTCTCAAACAATAGATTTGTAGTGATGTATTCAGGACTCTCAAAGTCTTCTTCTGATTCTTAAGAATCGATTGCTTTAGATTCTTCAATGTCTTCAATAGTATTCTCATCATCTCTTTAGAAAAATTATGAGATCTAACTTTGCCTAAGGGAGCTTCTATGTTCCATATTATGAATTGTAATTTTGCTTATTCGAAATTCGTTTCGATTCAATCGGAATTCCCCTAGGAGAAATACGATTAACACCAAAGGACTTTAGTATTGGATTAATTAAGTTTCACTTTCATGAATTGCCTTTGAATCTTGAATTCTCATTACTATAAAGTCAATTAAGCTTTCTTAATTATTATTAATCTTACATGAATCAACCTTAACTTCAAGGCATCAATGTTCATGCTTTAGCTCAAAAATGCAAGAGCAAGAAAGAGCTTTACAATTTCTTGACCCAAGATTGCTAGGCATTCTTACCAAAGATCGAGTCAACAAATATCTACTTCTTCAAGTAGATTTTCAGAGCACAGAAAGATGTAAGTATTATAGAACATAATTCTCTCTTACTCTAGTACTTAAGAAGAGATTAAGTAAAAGTGTCAGCAGTGCCTTAAATCGAAGGACTCACAGTTCATGACTTCCTACAGTTTGCGAAGCTCAATCCACAGCATCTCAAATACCTTCCAGATGAAAGAGACTGGGTTCATCTCGATCGACAATGGATTTGTGATGTACTCTATACTTTAGATCCAGATGAAATCTAGACTAAAATAAACTCTGCATAGCAAAACAGAAAGGAAAGACTAGAGTAGAATCGAGACTTAGTTGTAGAGATGCGACCAGAGTTCGCAGATGCACTCAACAGATGCCTCAACTTCAGCAGTAAGTTGCAATTGATGTCTTAATTTCTATAGCTGAAAGAGGAAAATCAGCTAATCTAATGAAGGACTCTTCAAAGCGAAAACGCAAAGCTAATGAAATCAGAGAAGTGGTTGAAGAAGAGAAATAGCTTCGCAATGATAAGCACACTTACCTCTAAGAAGCTAAGAGACTTAAAGATCAGCAAAGCAACTTTCAAGATGAACTTATTGTCCTCAAGAGAGACAAGGATGCTCTCATGGATTTGTTTGAAGCAAACAACCTAGGGAATTAAGTTGAGGAATTCAAATTCTGAATACCTGATACTTACCTTGAGATAATGCTAAGTGAATTATGAGAAAGAATTCTATTGGGAATGTCAATAGCAACTTAATTGTTTAATGAAATTAACTTTAACTTCAACTTCATTGATAGTTAATTCTCTTCAATCTTTGTTTCCCTCATCAATTTGCATCTTCTCATAATGTTCATTCTCTGAATTCAATATCAATTTGTCATTCTTATCTTTATTAGAAGCATTCACTTGCTTAGAAATATTCCTATTGCTTTTTCTAATACCTTGAATTTTAACTTCCTACTTAAGTTTTTGCTTTGCAACTCTTTTGTTTTTAACTTTTGTATCCTTAGTTTGTAAAGTTGATTAGTTATTCTCCTTGATTTTTTCAACTTGGATCTCATTAACGATAGTGACTTGACTTGCTTAGTAAGACTTTATCATTATTCCCTTTAAATCTTGATCACTCTTATCTTATAGTTGAGGAATTTATCTTAACTTGTCAACAACAATATCAAGTATAGAAGTTTCTTTCTAGACTTAATGTTAATCTATATCACTTTAGTCAAATGGGATTTAATCAACTTTGATTATATTGGATTGCAATTCATTTGTATTCACCATATCATGTTGTTTAATCAAATCGATTTCGATTAATTAATCATCTGATTAATCTGGATGAACAATCTTTCCTTCTTTATCTACTTTAGTTTCTTCTAGATCTACTATTAATTCCTTTTGTTAAAGTTGTTCAATGTTAATTGCTGTAGTTGATTCAACGAATTCCTCAATCGCAGACTAAACTTGTGATAGTTTTTTATCTTCTTGCAAGTCTTAAATCTACTAGAATTGTAGAATGTGCTACTCAGCACTATCTTTAATGCCTTGCTGATAGAGAATTCTTTACCACTTGCCCTTTGTATTAAGCCTCCCAACTCTGCCAATAATCTATTCTTCAGATCTCTTGCTGAAAACATCAGCAATAATAAGATAAGATCCTCCATTACTTTCTATTTCATCATTAGTCTGAATGTCAGTTCCTCTACCTTATGACTCATTCATAAGATAAACTCCAAACTACTTCAATTGATTTCTCATCAAGTATCTTCCTTCAATGGTTGCTTCAATAGTTTAGGCTTGAGTCTTTGCAAGACTTGTGAAATCAAAGCCACTGTACTTCAATCCAGTTTCGATGACACTGTATTTTTCAGAAGCTACAATCAAGACTGGACAGTACTAGATGTTTTCTTGAATTTATGTCTTAATGAACTACAAGTATTCATCTTTGTTTGATGAAATCAAGATGTCATTTCTCTATATTTTTTTGCTGCCTTTCAATTAATCTAATGTTGGAAATACAACTGGAGTACATTTAAAGACTAGTTCTAAGCACTTGATTTCTTTGAGATTCAGTTCACTTCCAGAGAAACCAATTACATTTTTAGCTTTACTGTAATCTTTGACATTATCTACGATAGTTTTGATTGATCCATCAAAGAAAATCCAATCATACTCATCAACTATCACAATACTTTCACTCCATGATTGTTGAAACTTTGAGTTACTTAATTACTTTTTCAAGGATGATTAAGTATAGAAATAAATTCCTAATGCTTTCGAGCATTAATTAAGATTGCAATTCAAGTTCATCTTTTGAATGAGACTCTCATATTTCTTTATGTCTCGTTAAACAAGATGTTCGTTCTTACTTACTATGAAGACTGAATTCTGTGTGTCTATAGAAATCATAATTGCTAAGGTAATAGAAAGCAAAGTTTTTCCATTGCCTATTCCAAACTAGATAAAGTGATTCGATTTCAAGTAACTTTGAATGTAATTCATGCACAATATTTGAGACTCATAGAGTTTAAATCCTAGGTGCTTCTATAGTCTCTCAAGTGTTAAACTTGCTTCAAGTTTGTCTTAATCATTCTTGAGAGAGAACTATTTTACCTAGTCATTATCATTGTTTTTAGTTTCAAACAGCTTCAAAAGATCAAAGATAATGTTTGTTGAGAGTCCCTCTATAGCTCTCGGAAGCTTTAAAATTCTTTGCATTTCACTGTTGTCTCCTTTCAAGAGAGAGTTAATAGTTAACTCACTTAACTTGACTCCTTTCTCAATCTAAGCTGTAACAATTTACTATTACAATCTCTTAAAGTCCTCTACTTTTCCAACCCAAGTTGGATCTCTTTCAATCAGTAGTTGAGCTATGCGATTCAAGAAATATAGCATTATTTATTAATCAAGTACTTCTTGTTTCTAAAGAAACATATTCCTAGTAAAGCTAATATATTCTCGAAGTGCTTGAGTACTAGGTACAGTTGAGAATGCACATATTTAGATAAAGCACTCATTGTACAATGATGGAATATCTCGAACAAGTGCTAGTCCAGAGTTAGATTTTAGTACTTATATGAATGGCACATTCAGTATGAACAATGAACTTGGCAAGAGACATTTTACTTCATAATCTACTCCAAAAGCATCCCAAGTGTCACTCATTAATTGTAGAATTCCAGGATTCGAATCATCAAGTTTCTTGAGGACACTCTCATTCTTTGAGAATGTTTCACATTCATTGACTGTCACATAGTTGGAAAGACCTAAAGCCTGTCTTGCATTCGGTGAACGAATCAGCATCTACATTGAGTCTTTGATGATAGTCTCATCAATATTAAGTATTTCACCTTTATAGTATTTGAGTGATGCTAGAAAAATTCTGGACTTGGAATCATCTTCTAGATATTTGAAATTTTATAATATTTCATTCAGAAGGTTAAACATGCCGATTGTATATAAGCCTTGGTTTTTGTTCTCTAAGTACTACAAAAAAACAAATAAACTTTGAGTGTTACGAGTCACGATCTCCGAGATAATATCATATCTTTGTAATGGATCTTAATTGATGAATTTCTCAATATAGCGAATGATATTTTCGTGAGTTATGATGGCGCCATTATTAATTGGAATCGTTGGAGCCATCTGAAGAGGCGCCATAAATCCCAGAGCTTCACTGCTTCTTAATTCAGCTTTATCGATTTGACTTTGTTTATCTTAAATACTTACACTTTAGGTTCTTTCAGAGTGAATATCAGAGATTGCAATTGATTTTGGCTTCTTGACTTTACAATTGTTAATGAACTTTCAGACATATTTTTTGAAGTCTGACTCCATATTATAATTCGCAAAACCCACTTATTATAGCAACAAATCCAAATTGTAATCGTTTTCTTTCAAGAATAGCTTTGCTCGATTAATCTTCGAGCTATCTGAAGCATCTTTGTACTCAGATTTCCAACCTTTTGGAAGTTGCTTCAAAGGCTGTTGAGGATCTAGAACTGAGTTTTCTAGAAGCCAAGAGACATCATCTCTGGAAATCTCAACTTTAGAATTTGAATTTTAAATCTCTGGAACTAGTAATTGATGAAGAAAAATGCTATTGACTTACCTATATGAGTTTCGTTTGGTGGATCCAAAGGATCTTGCTAGCCAATTTCATTCATTGTAAGTTTTTTTGAGGAAGCCAGGACTGGATTATTTAATAATATTAATAATTATAGAGTGGATTTTTGCTGGATTCTTATATTTAAGGCCTGGATTCTAGTCCTTAACCGAAGGGAAAATTGATTATTTTGGAATATCTACTATAGCTCTATCAATTATATAGACAATACAAGAGGTCAAGAGGTTTTGTTTGAGAAGTGATTTATTGATATAGGTTAGGATTTATGATTTGCAGGATTCTAAAATCTGTGATACATTTTAGAGGGAGTTGCTGGCTAGACGACCGCCAAAATTTAAAATTCAAATATTTTTGAAATCTTAAATCCTCTTGAAAAATCATCGTTTTCACTCAAATACTGAACAATGAGGCCATTGATTGGTGAAATTTAGAAGTTTAAAGCCTCAAAGAACAAAAAGTTGAAAAAAATAGGGGACGAGAAAGACCCCGAAAAATTGTGATTTTCAAGAATCCAGTCTCCATTGGCTACATGAGCTTAACCGAAGAAAATTTTTTGACTTGTAAATTTAACTTGAATAATCCCTGGATTCTAATGAAATGTTTACATATTTGAGATATTGAGAACATAGAGAGAAGAAATACGGTAATAAGAGGTCAAAATAATAAGGATCTCAAAATCTATAATGATTGAGTGATGACTTTTCAAAACTGTAAAATCATGTAGTCTGGCTACCAATCAAGAAGTCCCGACCCCCAATAATATAATATTTACGCATATTATATTAAATCTCAATTCATCTAATCACATGTATATATATAAATTGGGGTTTTGGGGTTTTGGGGTTTTGGGGTTTTGGGGTTTTGGGGTTTATGTCAACTTTGGTAAAGCTAATCTAACTCATTAACCTATAACAATCTTTTGTGAATAAGACTTTGGAAATAATTGAATACTCAAAGTGGATTATATAAAATCCTAAAAGCAAAAGACTGTGTTCTATATGTAAAATAGTTTATCTTAATCTAAACTCTTTTTATTAATAACCTGTTTCAATCCATTCAATAAATTTGAATAAACTCATATTAAATTCCAGGCTGAAGTTTATATTAATTATATATTTCGAAGCTCTATATAGAGCTATCTATATTTTTCTTCATTTGCTTAAGCAATATATGTTATTGCAATTACTGCATGATAAGACTAAACGATCAATGTTATTACTAGTATTATTATTGTTATTATTATTACTATTGTTATTGATGTTGCTATTATTGTTATTATTGCTATTATTATTACTGTTGATATATCTTTTGTTATTGCTGTTATTATTATTGTTATTACTTTGGCTTTATTGATTTTTGATTAAATTTTATCTAAAAATATTAAGCAGAATATAAATAACCTACCTTTAGATATACTACTACTTTAGTGAACTTCAGGTCTTTCTTGTCTTGCTGTTTTTTTTGTTGCCAATTTTCTGGAGGCTGGTTTTCTCTTAGTTTTTTGTTCTTCTTCTGTTTCTCTTTCTGTTTCTTTCTTTTCTTTCTTAAAGGTACCTATAAGTTAATAAAAAAAGCTTTCTCTAATTCATAAGGGGGAGGAAGAATTAGTTTTAAGGGAGGAAAGGTTGTTGTGAGGGAGGAAAGTTTTTGTTGAGGGAGGAATAGGTTTTTTTTGAGGAAATAATTATTATAAGCTGATTCTCTCTAGAAACGGTTCTCCTTAAATAGTTTTTTGTAATATCCAAATGGATGGTGGATTTTAAAATCATTTTCAAATTAGAAATTATAATAATTTTATTCGTCATCATCCTCATCTTCATCTTCATCATCATCGTCATCATCTTCATCTTATTCTTAATTTTAAAATGTATATAAAAATGAATAGAGTAAATTTTGAATAAGTTAATAAAATTTTTCCAACAATAGCAATCAAATTTTTCAACACAAGAATAAATCTATAATAATTTTTTTGAGAGCAATATTAAATTATTCTAATGTCGGAATGAATACCTTCAATCACTTGTGAAGTTTTTAATTAAAAATGATTGAAATTTTTTCAATCCAAAAATATTATTTTGAATTATGAGTGATATAATGAGCAATCACACAATTTCTGTAGTTTTATAAATGAGATATGAAAATGTCATAGCTGGAAAAAAAATTAAAAGCCTTTATAGAGTGATAAATTGAATTTATTTATGAATTAACCCATCGATAGTGATAATTTTGAATCGACTATCCATTTTACGCAATCATATTTTTACTTGTAATTGAAATCTATGGAGCTTCACATTGAATCATATCAATAAAAATATGATAATTTTCAATTCACAAGTCTTTCAAACTGATAAAATCAAGGGCCGATGTTAACACATGATAAAAGCATTTACGTACTAATGTCTGATTTATTTTGCTGATATTCATTGCAACTTCCTTCATGAATGATGCCCAGTATCCTCTATGACAAATTAAATTCCAAATCTTACTTTGATTAAGCTCTTGTATTCAGAGGATTTAAGTCTCTGTTCTTAATGTATGAATACATTAACTCTGCAGGTGCAAGTTTGAATTAATATGGACCAAGAAACATGAGAGGCAATTTCAATTCATCATAGCAAGTCATGATTTTAAAACTTCTGTGATATGGAGCATTGTCTATCAATATCACTGTGTTTGATCTCCAATCTTAGTCTTGCTAATCAAGCACTCTGATTAATTTACAGAGGAAATAAGTAAATGTAGTTTGATTTGTTCTTCCTCTGTTTACTGTGTAATACAGTTCTCCCGAACTGGATACTCCAATGATTAAATTCATTTGACTTAATCGTTAAGCATAAGTAACTTTGTTTCTTACTTTGTAACCTGTCCAGCCTCTGTGTCTCTCATCAGTTGTATTTAAAACTGATTCATCTATGTTAATAATTTTCTTTCCACTTGAGAGGACTCCAATAAATTGTTAAGCTGCATATTATCTTTGCAGTTTACAGTTCAAGTAATTGTGATTAACTGTAATTTACTTAATCTATTTGTATGTCAAATGCAATTCCTCTTTCAGGAATCTCTGGATCATTGATCTTGAGCACCTTAGTTAAATATCCTTCAGCAAACTTTGCTGGATGTCAGATACCTGAATAGGCACTCTCGAATCAACTATCATATTCACAATATGCATCCTTGCCCTTCCATGAAGCTTCTTGAATTTCTCATGTTCAGACAGGTTATTGATTGGCAAGCTAAAATTCAAAGATGGATACTTGATGAATTTTCTTACTTTGTAGTAAGTTATCTTCAACCTTTGTTGGATTTATCTCATCGAGAGTTTATGATTAAAATATAAATTCAAGCACTCTCTGTGTTGAATTTCTTAGTTCTACAGTTCAGCCTCTCGTTGCTTAATTAGCTTTATTTTTCGCTTTGGAATTACTACTTAGAGTTAGGGATATCTATTATTGACTTATGATTCTCTCTATAATCAATGATTTTCAATAACTCTTTATTCAAGTCTTGGTAAATCAAGATCTATATTCTGCACAAATCTTCCTTAAGGCTCTAGATCTGACTATCTATACTTAGTGTATAACTCCAGAACTTGCCTAGCTAAGTTCATAATTTATTCATCAGTTAGCAAAGTCTATACTGTTTTAATCTTCTATTATTCCTTAACTACTAATCTTGGATCAATGATGAAGCCTTCGAAATCATAATTGTCAAGTTCTTCAACAATATCAAAGAATAAGTAATCCATGTCTTTATAGTTGATTGTATCAACTTCAATATCAGCAAGAGTCAAATTCCTCTCAAACAATAGATTTGTAGTGATGTATTCAGGACTCTCAAAGTCTTCTTCTGATTCTTAAGAATCGATTGCTTTAGATTCTTCAATGTCTTCAATAGTATTCTCATCATCTCTTTAGAAAAATTATGAGATCTAACTTTGCCTAAGGGAGCTTCTATGTTCCATATTATGAATTGTAATTTTGCTTATTCGAAATTCGTTTCGATTCAATCGGAATTCCCCTAGGAGAAATACGATTAACACCAAAGGACTTTAGTATTGGATTAATTAAGTTTCACTTTCATGAATTGCCTTTGAATCTTGAATTCTCATTACTATAAAGTCAATTAAGCTTTCTTAATTATTATTAATCTTACATGAATCAACCTTAACTTCAAGGCATCAATGTTCATGCTTTAGCTCAAAAATGCAAGAGCAAGAAAGAGCTTTACAATTTCTTGACCCAAGATTGCTAGGCATTCTTACCAAAGATCGAGTCAACAAATATCTACTTCTTCAAGTAGATTTTCAGAGCACAGAAAGATGTAAGTATTATAGAACATAATTCTCTCTTACTCTAGTACTTAAGAAGAGATTAAGTAAAAGTGTCAGCAGTGCCTTAAATCGAAGGACTCACAGTTCATGACTTCCTACAGTTTGCGAAGCTCAATCCACAGCATCTCAAATACCTTCCAGATGAAAGAGACTGGGTTCATCTCGATCGACAATGGATTTGTGATGTACTCTATACTTTAGATCCAGATGAAATCTAGACTAAAATAAACTCTGCATAGCAAAACAGAAAGGAAAGACTAGAGTAGAATCGAGACTTAGTTGTAGAGATGCGACCAGAGTTCGCAGATGCACTCAACAGATGCCTCAACTTCAGCAGTAAGTTGCAATTGATGTCTTAATTTCTATAGCTGAAAGAGGAAAATCAGCTAATCTAATGAAGGACTCTTCAAAGCGAAAACGCAAAGCTAATGAAATCAGAGAAGTGGTTGAAGAAGAGAAATAGCTTCGCAATGATAAGCACACTTACCTCTAAGAAGCTAAGAGACTTAAAGATCAGCAAAGCAACTTTCAAGATGAACTTATTGTCCTCAAGAGAGACAAGGATGCTCTCATGGATTTGTTTGAAGCAAACAACCTAGGGAATTAAGTTGAGGAATTCAAATTCTGAATACCTGATACTTACCTTGAGATAATGCTAAGTGAATTATGAGAAAGAATTCTATTGGGAATGTCAATAGCAACTTAATTGTTTAATGAAATTAACTTTAACTTCAACTTCATTGATAGTTAATTCTCTTCAATCTTTGTTTCCCTCATCAATTTGCATCTTCTCATAATGTTCATTCTCTGAATTCAATATCAATTTGTCATTCTTATCTTTATTAGAAGCATTCACTTGCTTAGAAATATTCCTATTGCTTTTTCTAATACCTTGAATTTTAACTTCCTACTTAAGTTTTTGCTTTGCAACTCTTTTGTTTTTAACTTTTGTATCCTTAGTTTGTAAAGTTGATTAGTTATTCTCCTTGATTTTTTCAACTTGGATCTCATTAACGATAGTGACTTGACTTGCTTAGTAAGACTTTATCATTATTCCCTTTAAATCTTGATCACTCTTATCTTATAGTTGAGGAATTTATCTTAACTTGTCAACAACAATATCAAGTATAGAAGTTTCTTTCTAGACTTAATGTTAATCTATATCACTTTAGTCAAATGGGATTTAATCAACTTTGATTATATTGGATTGCAATTCATTTGTATTCACCATATCATGTTGTTTAATCAAATCGATTTCGATTAATTAATCATCTGATTAATCTGGATGAACAATCTTTCCTTCTTTATCTACTTTAGTTTCTTCTAGATCTACTATTAATTCCTTTTGTTAAAGTTGTTCAATGTTAATTGCTGTAGTTGATTCAACGAATTCCTCAATCGCAGACTAAACTTGTGATAGTTTTTTATCTTCTTGCAAGTCTTAAATCTACTAGAATTGTAGAATGTGCTACTCAGCACTATCTTTAATGCCTTGCTGATAGAGAATTCTTTACCACTTGCCCTTTGTATTAAGCCTCCCAACTCTGCCAATAATCTATTCTTCAGATCTCTTGCTGAAAACATCAGCAATAATAAGATAAGATCCTCCATTACTTTCTATTTCATCATTAGTCTGAATGTCAGTTCCTCTACCTTATGACTCATTCATAAGATAAACTCCAAACTACTTCAATTGATTTCTCATCAAGTATCTTCCTTCAATGGTTGCTTCAATAGTTTAGGCTTGAGTCTTTGCAAGACTTGTGAAATCAAAGCCACTGTACTTCAATCCAGTTTCGATGACACTGTATTTTTCAGAAGCTACAATCAAGACTGGACAGTACTAGATGTTTTCTTGAATTTATGTCTTAATGAACTACAAGTATTCATCTTTGTTTGATGAAATCAAGATGTCATTTCTCTATATTTTTTTGCTGCCTTTCAATTAATCTAATGTTGGAAATACAACTGGAGTACATTTAAAGACTAGTTCTAAGCACTTGATTTCTTTGAGATTCAGTTCACTTCCAGAGAAACCAATTACATTTTTAGCTTTACTGTAATCTTTGACATTATCTACGATAGTTTTGATTGATCCATCAAAGAAAATCCAATCATACTCATCAACTATCACAATACTTTCACTCCATGATTGTTGAAACTTTGAGTTACTTAATTACTTTTTCAAGGATGATTAAGTATAGAAATAAATTCCTAATGCTTTCGAGCATTAATTAAGATTGCAATTCAAGTTCATCTTTTGAATGAGACTCTCATATTTCTTTATGTCTCGTTAAACAAGATGTTCGTTCTTACTTACTATGAAGACTGAATTCTGTGTGTCTATAGAAATCATAATTGCTAAGGTAATAGAAAGCAAAGTTTTTCCATTGCCTATTCCAAACTAGATAAAGTGATTCGATTTCAAGTAACTTTGAATGTAATTCATGCACAATATTTGAGACTCATAGAGTTTAAATCCTAGGTGCTTCTATAGTCTCTCAAGTGTTAAACTTGCTTCAAGTTTGTCTTAATCATTCTTGAGAGAGAACTATTTTACCTAGTCATTATCATTGTTTTTAGTTTCAAACAGCTTCAAAAGATCAAAGATAATGTTTGTTGAGAGTCCCTCTATAGCTCTCGGAAGCTTTAAAATTCTTTGCATTTCACTGTTGTCTCCTTTCAAGAGAGAGTTAATAGTTAACTCACTTAACTTGACTCCTTTCTCAATCTAAGCTGTAACAATTTACTATTACAATCTCTTAAAGTCCTCTACTTTTCCAACCCAAGTTGGATCTCTTTCAATCAGTAGTTGAGCTATGCGATTCAAGAAATATAGCATTATTTATTAATCAAGTACTTCTTGTTTCTAAAGAAACATATTCCTAGTAAAGCTAATATATTCTCGAAGTGCTTGAGTACTAGGTACAGTTGAGAATGCACATATTTAGATAAAGCACTCATTGTACAATGATGGAATATCTCGAACAAGTGCTAGTCCAGAGTTAGATTTTAGTACTTATATGAATGGCACATTCAGTATGAACAATGAACTTGGCAAGAGACATTTTACTTCATAATCTACTCCAAAAGCATCCCAAGTGTCACTCATTAATTGTAGAATTCCAGGATTCGAATCATCAAGTTTCTTGAGGACACTCTCATTCTTTGAGAATGTTTCACATTCATTGACTGTCACATAGTTGGAAAGACCTAAAGCCTGTCTTGCATTCGGTGAACGAATCAGCATCTACATTGAGTCTTTGATGATAGTCTCATCAATATTAAGTATTTCACCTTTATAGTATTTGAGTGATGCTAGAAAAATTCTGGACTTGGAATCATCTTCTAGATATTTGAAATTTTATAATATTTCATTCAGAAGGTTAAACATGCCGATTGTATATAAGCCTTGGTTTTTGTTCTCTAAGTACTACAAAAAAACAAATAAACTTTGAGTGTTACGAGTCACGATCTCCGAGATAATATCATATCTTTGTAATGGATCTTAATTGATGAATTTCTCAATATAGCGAATGATATTTTCGTGAGTTATGATGGCGCCATTATTAATTGGAATCGTTGGAGCCATCTGAAGAGGCGCCATAAATCCCAGAGCTTCACTGCTTCTTAATTCAGCTTTATCGATTTGACTTTGTTTATCTTAAATACTTACACTTTAGGTTCTTTCAGAGTGAATATCAGAGATTGCAATTGATTTTGGCTTCTTGACTTTACAATTGTTAATGAACTTTCAGACATATTTTTTGAAGTCTGACTCCATATTATAATTCGCAAAACCCACTTATTATAGCAACAAATCCAAATTGTAATCGTTTTCTTTCAAGAATAGCTTTGCTCGATTAATCTTCGAGCTATCTGAAGCATCTTTGTACTCAGATTTCCAACCTTTTGGAAGTTGCTTCAAAGGCTGTTGAGGATCTAGAACTGAGTTTTCTAGAAGCCAAGAGACATCATCTCTGGAAATCTCAACTTTAGAATTTGAATTTTAAATCTCTGGAACTAGTAATTGATGAAGAAAAATGCTATTGACTTACCTATATGAGTTTCGTTTGGTGGATCCAAAGGATCTTGCTAGCCAATTTCATTCATTGTAAGTTTTTTTGAGGAAGCCAGGACTGGATTATTTAATAATATTAATAATTATAGAGTGGATTTTTGCTGGATTCTTATATTTAAGGCCTGGATTCTAGTCCTTAACCGAAGGGAAAATTGATTATTTTGGAATATCTACTATAGCTCTATCAATTATATAGACAATACAAGAGGTCAAGAGGTTTTGTTTGAGAAGTGATTTATTGATATAGGTTAGGATTTATGATTTGCAGGATTCTAAAATCTGTGATACATTTTAGAGGGAGTTGCTGGCTAGACGACCGCCAAAATTTAAAATTCAAATATTTTTGAAATCTTAAATCCTCTTGAAAAATCATCGTTTTCACTCAAATACTGAACAATGAGGCCATTGATTGGTGAAATTTAGAAGTTTAAAGCCTCAAAGAACAAAAAGTTGAAAAAAATAGGGGACGAGAAAGACCCCGAAAAATTGTGATTTTCAAGAATCCAGTCTCCATTGGCTACATGAGCTTAACCGAAGAAAATTTTTTGACTTGTAAATTTAACTTGAATAATCCCTGGATTCTAATGAAATGTTTACATATTTGAGATATTGAGAACATAGAGAGAAGAAATACGGTAATAAGAGGTCAAAATAATAAGGATCTCAAAATCTATAATGATTGAGTGATGACTTTTCAAAACTGTAAAATCATGTAGTCTGGCTACCAATCAAGAAGTCCCGACCCCCAATAATATAATATTT